CATGTACGTACAGTTCTAAATAACATGAACGTCACAATTTATTGCTATTGGGATATCTCAAAGAGAATACATTTATACTTTCACGTGAAACATCATGCACATTTATTCAACGACAGGTCTCAACATTTAACGTACAGCCAAGAGCATTACGTTGAAAAACGAAGTTGATCTAAATGCTGCATTTTCCCCCTGTGTCAACCTCCTCGATAATTTATTATGAATTAATGTCGTAAATACACAGGTTTATTATTTTTGCAGTCCCTTTAAAGTCTCCGCGTTAAGACCTTTCATGTTGTTTGGGAGGAAAAGATCTGGTTTTAATGAGGTTGTTATTGATGTTAACTTGTTTGTTGGTACACATCGTGGCGATAACCATACATTGAGATAAGCCAGCTAGTGAGGTATGCATCTATCATAAACCTTACGGCAGGTTATACATGCCAGTGTTTAAGCTTTATTAGTGTGTGTAAATGAAACAACTTTAATGGTTATGAACTAGACTTAAACAGCTGGGCAGAAGAAAGTCCTCATACATCTGAGATGGTGGCTCAAGCCGAAACACACAAGTAGTGGTTATTCGACTGTGATTTGTTTTATAAGGTATCATAGTAGTGTTTTACAATGTTTCGGTGATTGTTTTCAGCCAAACAACGTGTTGGTAACGTTTGTAGGTATTTGTTTAAACACTTTCGTTTGACCTGCCTTGCATAATGGCAAAGAACACCATTAATGGACTTCTCATATTGTTTCCACATTGGAATCGAGCCCGTGTTTTCAGAGTAAGAGCGAGGGGCGACTAACAGGATCATGTAATCAAGCTTGCTTGTACCACCCAGTCAGTCATTGTAATTGTTACAATAGACCCGTGAAGATCCGATTTAGAATTGGTCTTCAGCAACCCATGCTTGCCATGCTCGCAGCACTCAGCAATATTCCTGCTATATGGCAGCGGTCTGTAAATAATCGAGTCTGGACCAGACAATCCAGTGACCAAAAGCATGAGCATCGATCTACGCAATTGAGAAAAATGACATGTGTCAACCAAGTCAGCGAGCCTGACCACCCAATCCTGTTAGTCGCCTCTTACGATTGCAATTAAGTCAATATTATTGTCAATAGTATAATTTACAAGTGATCACTAGGCGTTTATTGATTAAATCATATGAAATACCCTCAACACAAACATTATTACTGGTGGTTGCGCAGACATAAATTGGCACTGTGATGGACGTTTGCATGTCTTTCCAGCTCTGGGTTCTTTTCAGATTTCTGTTTACATGAACTCTTCGTATTTCATTGACATGAAAAAAGGCAAAATAAAATGGAAACGTACTTAATAGCTTGTTAGGCGCAAAAATAGCACGGGTAGAAACAAACGATAACAAAATTGAAATAATATATGAAAAGTAAATATTGTTATGTACTTACAGTACCCGTGGGCTGTTATCAGAGCTGAATATTATTCGTTAAAAAAGAATCACTTGTATTCGTTTCAAATACGAATCTTTACCTAATCAAAAATTCATATCGATTTGTAAAAAAACATGGAGGCCAGCCCTTCAGGAGCGTGTGAACATTGTAATATCCCGGTCCATCAAAGATGTCGACAGATCCCGCGACATGCAACCAGTGAAAGAAACATGTATTTCATTGACGGTCTCAGTGTGCAGTTACGTTGCTACATGTCATGAAGCCTGTCACTCAATGTCAGAGTCACGTTTTACTAATCAATTTCATAAAGTAAAGAGTCGACTCTGCCATGCAATGTTACTGGTACGTGTTCGCCGAGAGCCACCCGAAGTTTTGACTTTGATTGAATGTTGTCAGTTGACAGGTTGGTAGATTTCCCTCGAACGTGCTTACACCTTCGATACCAGCCTGGCTTTGACTTGTTCGTCTTGTTATTTGGTTCGCAGCACAGTTATCAATTTCATGGGAAAATAGTACTCTGATATAATCTGATCTGGTTCTGATCTCAAATGCTGTGGTTTTATATTTGATCAATGATCACGTATTTTATTTTGGAATTTACTGTTCCGTGGCACTGGAAATGGGATAATGTATCGAAATAAATAATAAAAAAATATTTCAAAATATTCAGATAGATCAAGTCACAGTTTTACAAATGGATAGTAATACACAGGTCAATAAGAGCGCAACAGGTGTGCCAAACTGAAATGCACTTAATCGGCAGTCATTAATTATAACAATTGTTTAAAAAATGTAGCGTTTTACATAAAGCATTTTAGGCATAGGAGCAATAGCTAGTTAGTATGTCCACGTGACCGAAACAAGAAAGTACCTTCCTGGCACTTGTTTTTTAATTCTTTTTTTGGTAAGTATACAAATTATTATGGGCATTACACATTGAGACAAACGACGTAGATTTTATTTTAAAATATTGACTTTAAAAGTTGCCCAAACCGACTCAGATTATGTGTATTATTATCGACATTACACGCCCGGACAAACGACGGAGACTATTTATATTATTGACTACAAGTCGACAAAACCGACGGAGACTATACGTACTATTACGACATTACACGTCGAGACAAAAGACGTAGCCTGTATCTAACATGTTTTACTTTACACTTCGAGATAGACGGAACTTATTTTTACAGACATGTCGAGACAACCGACATGGTCTGAACAGTCGACAAGACAGTTGACGTTGATGTAGTTTTGCACAGCAGGGGCTGCCACAAATAAAGTATCGTGATTCGGACCATTACAAGCAGCCATGCACATACACGTGCATGCATTTCACTACAAATGTGCAATAATCTTGAACGCGATATTTAATACATTCACCTGATAGCAACAATTCTAAATCGCTTCCGACTGTCGGTTGCAAATAAACATGCATTTCACGTAATGTTTCACATGTTTCATATGTCAGGGTATGTCACAGGTTGTGGCACGGACTAGGGCGTCCCACTTCTCAGACAAGACAGTGAGACATGTCGTGTAGATGTTCACGTGTTCCAACAACGCTTGCCCTGTGTTCCAGCCCAGTCAGCAAGTGCACTCTCGGTCAGGCTTCGCTGACCTTCTACCAAGCAAATCAATAATGAAAGATATCGTACGTTCCCTAAATTAGGAGTGAATCAATTAGAAATCGGATCAATTACAGTCGAAAATTCTGACAAGAGCCACTGAACACATATACGTTTGAATACAGGACACGTTTTATGGATAACAACTTCTATTAAATTCTTTATACGACGTTTCAGAGCTAATGCTTGCTCCTTCATCAGGTGAATGCTGAACCTGTGCACAGAGTGTTAATGTACATATACGCTTGTCAATCAATTCTGAAGATGAGCATGCATCAGGCATAGCCAAAACGATTTTTTGGCCATCTGTGAGGGTTTCTTAGGCAGTAATGCTGTTCCAATTCTTATTCTTGTAATGACGGAGTTGCGTTGAATAATAAGGACGATGACGATGATATTTGCATTTCACAATAATGATGAATGCAAATGGCATTATTGATATTTTCCTCCTCTGAAAACTTTCATAAATAAATGTTTTTAATACGCTTGTGGTACTTATTTTCAATACGCGAGGTACCCCACGATGTCCGTACAGCCAAAGTAAACTGGGTTCTGATCTAGGATGATGCGCACATCGCAAAGAGAACCAGTCAGGACACGTGTACCACCCTTCTGTGTTTGACCAATTTTATCGAATGTCAGCAGTATGGAGAGAAAAAGACAACTGTTCTCAATTTTTATTTGTTACTTTAATCGAAGCACATCCTAACCGGGAGTTGTTTTCAGTTGATACATAATTATGAATGAAAGTCGTTCTGTCTCCAGTAGGTCGTTCCATTAGTAATGATGTTCCATTAACTGTGGGCAGTGAACGTTTCAGTCTCGTCCTCAGTTTTTTGTCCTCTGACCTTAAAACGACACCAACATTACACCTGTATAACCTAGTTGCATACTGATGTAATATATGGGCGCATCTACCGCATGAAGGAGATTGGTCTACATTGTATTTCGCGTAATACTCTTGAAATCATATTTTCCGGTTGCGTTTTAGCGAATGCTACTCCGAGAACGTGTGACGGTCAATATTGTTCTGACACGGACTTTCCTCTCATCTCGATTTCATAATTTCAGATAAATATAGTGTTAAAATATTCCAGATATAATAAACAATGTTATCTCAAAGTAATGTCTTCGGTGTATCACAGGTTTTACCCCTAATAGTAAATTCGATATAGAAAAGATATATGTACTCCTTGTATTGTGTTTGTTGTTTTACGCCGCACTCAACAATATTCCAGCTATATCGCGGCGATCTGAAAATAAACGAGTCTGGACCCAGTCAATCCAGTGGTCAACAGTTTGAACCTCACTGTACGCAATTGGGATACAATGACTTGTCTTAACAACGTCAGCGACCCTGACCACCCGATGCCCTTAGTCGCCTCTAACGACAAGCATGGGTTGCTGAAGGTCAATTCTAACCCGGATCTTCACGGGTACTCCTTTAATATGGTATAGAAATGACCATTTGTAATGAGAGAATGAAGGGAAATACTTTTACGCCGATTTAACCAATGGCCGTTCTAATTAACACCACACCAAGACCTGGCTCTTCAGGTTGCGCCCTTGTTTACAATAGAGAATCGAACCCAATCCTTCGTCCTGATGAACTAACAATTTAGCCACTTGGCTACCCCACCTTCCCTAATGAACCTGATTATTAACGATGAAGGTAATTATGATAAATCATGATGGCGGTAATACGAGTATGTCTGGGATGACGATAATGATGATATGAGTGATGACTGGTTTTACAATTACACCAAGGCCAAACAATTATACTGCCATAGGCAATAGCATGAAACAAGGTAAAACGTTCAGCTTCGTGGTCGTCATCGTCGTCTGAGGCGTCAAATTCGAATAAATAAAAAAAATTAAACTTGCACTTAAGTTTGATGCCGCGCCACCAGCAGCACTACATACCCCATTGGCAGTCGTCACGCCATGTTCTCGTTTTATGGCGCGTATTCGAAGCCATCCTTGTGGAAACTCACACTGGGATTCCCAGACAGTGGTAGGTCACTGGCGCGTGACGATGTTGTAGCTGTCGTTTTGTTGATAACGACATTACATTCGGACACAGACGCACAACCAGCCTGACTCGTTGCGTCTTTCAACTGGCGGACAGGAAATGGGTGGGTATGTGTTCATTTCAAACTCATCATTCGTGAGTACTCAGGTCAGTCCGAAACAAGCTGAATGGTCACGGAAACGGTCGAGATGTGCGTTGTGTGTGTATTTTCAGTTAGGTGTCAGTGACATTATGAAAGAAATAAGAATTTTGCGTTTAGGTCGCGATGACAAACCTGCTACTACTACTACTACTACTACTACTACAACGACGACGATTACTACCACCACTAGTACTACGTCTGCTTCTGCAACTACTTCTACTACTACTACTACATTGGCGGATCGGGGGTGGGGTGGGGGGAGACTTATGTACTACTACTGCTGCGACGACCACTACGACTGTTGCTGCTGCTGCTACTACTACTACTACTATTACTACTACTACTGCTACTGCTACTACCACTACTACTACTACTACTATTACTACTACTACTGCTACTACTACTACTGCTACTACTACTATTATTACTACTACTACTGCTGTTACTGGCTAACCCTGTTAAGTTGTTGAGGCAGATTAGATCTATGTCATGTTCCCTGACTAAAACTTATTGTTAAAATACAGCTCAGGCCAATGCCGTCATATTACCAAATGAAGTGTCGATTGCTTTATTGAAATGGAATCGAATAAAACATGAAGAATATTCGGATGAATCCCAAAATTTAACAAAATCAAATGTTTCAACGTAAAACAGAATATTTCTTTGAAAACAATATCTCTGGCAAAATATGCCGCCATCTTTGATGATGAAGAAAGAATATACTTAGGACAAGTATGAAACGTTCTAAGATTTACGACATTCTTATGGTGTCTCGGGGCTGCGGTAGTTTCGGACTACAAATTCTCTTCGGTAACTGTACGATAATCTTGAGGTACAGACCATTTCGAAAATCTTGGACCTGGTGTGTATGCCTGTGTGCGTTTCAGCAATTTCACTGATAGTATTGTTTAGAACAAAACGATATGAAAGCATCAATTGTCACAAAGTTACAAAGTAAACAATTGACGATAGTTTGTTTTTCCACGTTTCATAATCTTAATTTCTCATACGTCGGTTATTCTCTCAATAGTGTCTTGGTTCCAATTAAGAAAATTATTCGTGGGTATGATTTTCGCAGTATTTCAAGGGCAGATAACCCTGTAACGTCGCTATACTAAATACAAAGTACAAAGCAGGTCCTAATATACTTATGTCAACACAACAAGTGTGATTTCAGAAACACTCAGTATTACTCGGAACCAAACCTACGTTTTGAGACTTAGGAGAATTCAGTTTCAGTTAGGATTTTTTTCATTTTCCATAAATTTAGTCCAGGTTATGAAGGAATCTAAATATACATTTCTGGGCCTAGATTTTCGAAGCTCTCTTAGCGTTAAGATAGCTAAGTGCCATACATTAACATTAACTTACGACTATCTTAGCACTAACAGAGCTTTGAAAATCGGTCCCCTGATTGATTAATTCACTCCATATAATGTTGTATATACCTTGAGACATAATGAAATATATTCAGAGAATATATTCATGATATTGCCCAGCTATAAATTTAGACGACGTATGTTTGCGCTATATGACAACTTCGACTAATTGTTGTAACGGATGTATCCCTCGAGTTCTGAGATTCCCCCATCACGAGATACGGAACGATGTGGCTTCAGGTAACCAGGTAACTTAGATATGACAGGTAAATTTCCATCTTTAGAATATGCCTTTCGTTATCTGCCCCGTGATAACGATTTAGTTTCAACGATTCAGCGTTTCATTATAAAGGTGCTGCTTTTGAATTATATATATATTTTTTATATAAAAACACAGGCGTAATTTACTTATTCGATGTGTTCAAAGAGAGTTATTTGTGTTATATTCAATGCTGTGTTTTCTGGGAGTGAGTGAGTGAGTGAGTTAAAAGTTAAAGTCGCATCGGCAGTATTTCAGCCATATCTTGACATTCAACAAGTTCTGAATGCATGATAAAAATGTTTAAATTGTAAAAACCTGTCGACAAAGGACAGTAATAACGACTTAGAATATCGCAGAACCAGAATTTGAAACTAGCATCTGTCTCTAAAAGTGGCTTTGTAAACAGAGGAATACAATATAAAACTGTAGATAGCCAGCAACTAAAGGTAGATCACCATAATAGGGACTTAGAGTACCCTGGCTGGGTTGATATCATCCCTTCATTCGCTGGCGATTGTAGTCAAACTTAGCCATAATATAAAGTCACAAATATTACGTTTTTAAGACTTGGTAAGCTTAAATTTACTGTAAATATTTTTGGACGTACGTATCCGAAAAGGTATTTTCTGGGAGGGACAATTGACAATAAAGAGCCACAATCACGTTTGGAAACATGCTGTTGATGGCAAATATGCGAATTTCAGATAAAAAGTTTTCTAACCCATGGGTCTTGATTATGTACCTATTTATTTTAGTTCTTTCTGAAAACTTTCATTTCAAATTTATAAGAAAATCCACCCTGAGCTCTCGTATCTACATCAGAAAAGAGTCGAATAAATGCATTACTTGTACCGTGACATGACAGGACCCATACGAGCATATTACTATTGGGTGGTTTCAATACGAGTTTAATGTATAAGAGTTAAAACACCGCCTTTAAAGACCCGTCAGACTGGTTTCATCAAGTACTAAAGCATCCGCTGAATATGTTCAACGTTTTTCCTTAAGAACAAACGTCGTTTTTAACAAATACATGATGCGGCTGGCTACTTAGCAACCATCAGACCATTTCATAAACAAAGACTGTACGAGACGCTGATGCTTTTGTAAACCTCCTGATTGGCTGCACACCGCACCCCATCTTACATCGAGCAATCTTTCAAAACAGAAAACATGTATAATTTCAACACTTTTGTATTTGATAACAGTCATAGTCAGCGCGCGCAGCTCGGTTCTATATAGAATAATATCCGCGCCAAAACGCTCGCGGCCAGAGAAAGATTGTGACCAATCAAATTCCTTCTGTCATATGGACGCGCATCCCAGGTGAGAGAGCTTTCGCATACAGGTGAAAGTTGGGTGGCGGACATGCATGTTACGCGGTGTACCCTCTCTGGACTGTGATTAGGTAGGTGCTGACTTTACACTGACAGGCAGGCTGATATTCTTAGAGCTAGTTGAGCATCAGCAGTTACCTGTAATTACAGGTAGAATATGTTCCGTTTGATGGTGGTGACATATCTCGCTCAGGTAGACATCGGCTGGGCCACTATAGTCAGACACACTACTTACCTGATAGTACTCACATGTTAAAATGTTTCGTATGTATATTTTAGGGGTTGTATCCCATGTACGTCACAGTGCCTCTAACGTGTCGATACCCCAGATATTGTAGATGCTTTGTGACAGTCCTATACATTAAGTGTCGTCTTTTCCCATTTGCTGTAAAGTAAATTATTAAATGTAGAAACATTCGTATTAATTTCAGGAAAAATATTTTCCGAGAAAATCATGCATTTTATTGAATTTTAATTGCCATTTGCCATTATTGCCACTATTGCAAAGCATGGTAAAATGTAACTTCTTTTACGAAGTATACTGCTGTTTTGTTCGACACAGAGGTTATATTTAATTTGCTTGCATTTTACATATACCTTTCAGATTGTTAACACATGTAGAACTAAAACACATATGTGCTTTAGCTGTACACGTGATTTATTTAGACAGAACTTAACTAGCGAATTTCTGCCTGAATTAACTAAGCCTTTCACTTTCACTTAACTCCTTTAGCCGTTATTTCTGTATCATAAACGTAGATTAGAGAAATTGAAACGACAGTACAAGTTATTATTTTAGATCACATTAAGGCTATAAGGCTCGATCGTGTTGAGCAGATGAGTGCTTTTCGGTTAAAATAACACAACCTTAATCCTCGGCATATTCCGTCTCATGTCTGCCATGTGTCGACTAAGCCCGTTCATGTCTAACTCGTTTAAATCGCTTCATAACCATATAAATTGTTACCATTGAAATAGTCGTTTAAACCTGTTTAACCGAAGAAATATTCTTTATAACGGGGAACCATGTCAGGTCACATAGCCTCCTCGCTATAACGTCCGTTTATTGAAAAACCCACAATGAGTACCACTAAAAGCAGCAAGCTCTGCAATATGTTTCATGGTTATATTTAACCATAGACAGTCTCCCGCTGTGGGCCTTTATTGTAAAATTGCCATAATTTGAATACATGCCAGAGGCTATATTATGAATAGCCACATGCTTAACTTGAATGGAATGGTGGGTGGGGCTTGTTTGGTACAAAGTGGCCGGCGCACTCCACCTGTCGACATAGAAGTTTCTGGAGAATACTAAATTTAAAATTCAAACTGTTGAAATGGAATTCAAACCCCTGAACACCTCTAATAACATATATGTTCAACTACGTGGTGTAGTTTTTGAGCTGAGATATTCTGTATATAACTTGTGAAAATTAAAATGATTACTGTTTAAGAAAGCCATAGCTAGTTTCATATAGCCATGTTTAAATTTTAGCAATAAATCTATATTTTAATAGGTTTTATGATAATCATATACGTTTTGTGGTAAATTTGGAATCATACTCTATTTAATGAACCATTATAAATTAGATTTAATCACTGATAATTGGTTATATGTGTATGATAATTGCATTTTTCAACCAACACTGAGAAAAGAGCGAAGTCTTCCTGATGATATAAAAGATACACCTTTCCATGTATTATTATATGTCTGATTTAATACAGCATGTATGGTACATGTGCATGATAACTGTAGTAAGACATTTGCTACTCACTTAGCGGCGAGTGTTCACTGTGATATGATGTTCAGAATAAGAGTCTGTTTCATAGAACACTGCGATTTAAAAACTTGAAAATGAAATTTTAGAAACAACTGTTCTCAACGCATCATAACACACCCCTTGCACAGAAAGATTATCTCAAACAAAAAAAGTATAATCTTAACATTATATTTCAACCAACATTATGATCTGATCTACAAATAATATCTCTCCAGGTCGGAAACTCCAGTACCCTTAATCAAAATACATGTCAGTCTTTATGTTGTATATTTAGTAAATGTTAGCCGCCGATGCGTATTCAGAGAAGTTTTAATTAAATTCATTTGATGATGATGATTATAGTGGGGAGTGTAACAACCCTTCATGCTTCTTGCTTATATGTTGTACAAGGGAACCAATCTGACCATTTGCCAAGAGATGATTAAATTTTGAAGCACCCACGTAAACTCACCATAACCTCCCAAATGTGCAGCATGTCGACCAAGCAAGAGTGTAACTAGGGGAGGTGTTTGTTCCAAACTATGTTACCTATGCTAACTCACGTGTATACTTATTGAATATATACACATGTGACGCGTTATATGTATCAGATGCGTGATGGGCATTTAGAAGTCGGATGGTAACATAACAACGTGTGGTGTTGATTTAAGCTGATGAAGGGGAAAGAAGTAGCCCAGAAACATAGTGTTGTAAATAATAAAGAAGTTGTAAATCTCATACGGTGTTACATTATATGTAGGACTGTTTAGTTTCATGTGAGTAAAACATGATGATGATGATGACGACGACGACGATTATGATAAAATGTGCCAACTCATATTTTAGAGAAAAGTACAGTTCATCTGAACATGTCAATGTAAGCATTCGTGTATGGATGATAAAAAGGTACTTTTAATATTGAAGTTTATATATACTTATGAATAGTTTTACTGCCATGAACGTAACCGTTGTGTTATATGAATCACTTATTTGTGATTTCACAACTGGTTACAAACCCAGGTTCAAGTGTGACTATTTCCGAGTGTACTGGTTGGTACCATGGGGATGGGTTCCATTCATGGTCTTATTTATGACCAAACAGAGTTCCCGTTGTTTTGTGAAATTAACACCTTTCACACCATCACTAAGTGACATACGTTGTACATTTCAGACACGACCGGCCGTCGCCATAACAGGATGTTCCTAATGAAACAGTGGGCGTGGCTTCCGAGGCTTGAAAGAGACAGTGATCGTGAAATTGACACGTTTCGGTGTGGACAAGTCACGTGATTATTGAGGAAATCTGTTTTGAACTTTGAAAACCACGAATGGTGTGCCTCAAGTCATTAATACATTCTTTCCATTAGCTTTGACCAGTGGTAAATTTAAGTGGGGCATTTCTGTCATAGGTGTGATATATTGTTAAGCGTTTAGCACATATGGGTGGAATCATTCCGGATGGAATTCAAGGGAGGGGTTGACGTTGATGGGGATTAGAGAAGAATTATCTATTCTAATTACATTCACATTCTTCTGTCTGAGTACGTGTAGGAGGAATTCAGAAATCTATTTTAAAGTTGATGACTAATTAAAATTGTCCTGAAAATATAACTATTTAACGTCACTTAAAAGGTAAGTTGATACTTCTGTTAGTGTTTTTTGCGAGTTGGGTATATCATTATAACGAATCAAGGTTTTAAGTTTATTTGAACAAACATAGAACGGTGGTAATGTAATCCGTGTTGAAGCAACGACATAACTTAAAGGATGGAGCTGAGGAAGGAGGCAATGCATCGTCATCTTTAGGTGACCATGGGTGTATGGGAGGTTGGGATGTGGGTTTCGGGTCAAGTAAATGACGTTGGAGTTGTAAAGTATATAGAAACAGTATAATTTGGCTTAGTAACGGTAGAAATAAATGATTTTTCGTTTATGGAGTATTTTTCATTTGATATACGCTTAACACAATCCGTACGTTATCTAAGTACAGATATATGCGGATAAATATTTGGAAGATGCACGACGTGAGTTTCGATTTGGCACTCAGTGTGAGAAGTGCTGAATACCAAACCGAAACAGCTAGCCTCCAAATACGTTGTGCGTGTGAATCTGTTTTAGATAGCGTCGGAATGGTTGTTGTTTAATATCGCACTTTGAATATCCATGTATGTTAGACCAGGAGTAGTGCTGTTTTCTGTACAATGTAGTGATTCCATTCACAACGTTGAAACTTACATTAGTTTAATACTATATCATCTAACATTTATTACTTTAGAAATGCTTTTGTCTCGTGGCTTTACCTGGCGAACGAGTTTTCACATGTATGTGATTGTCTTATATCCTGTGAACATCACAATGTTCGTTGTCGGGTCAAAATGAAAAATAAAAGCCAATCGACATTTCTGGAGAACTTGAGGTCCATATGGGTGTTTTCGCTGGTAATTCATAGGTTATGTTTTATATTTGCTGCAAAATTAATCTTTTCCATTGACATTCCGAATAGCAGTATTATATTGCTGGGAGTACTTGATATTTAGAGCGAATGTGACAAGGTGTCCATAATTTACGCTGAACATGCTTCAACTGGGCTTTGGTAACATGCCCTACGGAGTTATCTCCCATCCATTGCTCACGGGTCGCGTTTCAGTTATTGATTAATTTTGTTCGCTGTGATCATTCACCGGGACCCATTCTTGGTTAAATGGAACTAATGTTGTCGTCTTGCTATGTGGTATTATCAACCATTGTCTGTTATAAATTAATTGCAATAAAATAGTAATAATTATAATTACAGACCCAGTGAACTATTTTCTTTGGAATATTGGAAAGCAATCGTTATGTGCAAGGAGAATTCTATTTGTGCTTCAGATTCTTGCTACGTCATGTTGAGTCTAGTCGGTATTTATATCCTTTGATCATGGCATGGATCACTGATCATATCCGATTGATCACCTATCAATGATTAAATATTCAAGAGGCTTTTGGAACATTGTCAAAGTGGGAGTTCTGTAACCAATGTAAACTAGATATAACATATGATATATGATTGGCTGATGGTTCAACGTTTTAACCAATGGAGACCCAGTTTACAAAAAACCGACGCCATACTTAGTGTTTACATATTTCCAAGGCGCTCAGCTTCAAAACAAAGCACTTCCCGGTGTATATTCTGTCAATGATATTCACTCAATCATAACACACTCTACTGATAAATCTATGGAATGTGATGACGCAGACATTGACTTGGTCCAACAGAGTGGACACAACCTTGCATGTGAATATGCGTCTAGATCTAACACGATCCAGAGAAATCTCACCAGTTGTCACTGATGTTGACAAAATGGCTGAACCTAAGAGTAAGACATGTGACATTTTACCACCAACCATGCCTAATGACTCAAAGAAAAAGTCTACACTTTCAAAACGTTCTAATGCATTCGTCATAGACTGGGGGGAACCAAAACAAACAAGCCTTCAAGAAGCCTTCTTAAAATTTCAAAAAGATCGACAGGTAAGAACGTGTATGAGAAACTTGAGTGTTCGACATGAGAGGTAGACCTTTCAATTCCACGTAGTTGACCTGTATGAATGTGTCCCATAACCGGATTCACATTCTTTCATTTTCACACTTATTTTAGAAAGCATTGTAGGCATTCTTATAACCCAAATTCAACAAAATAATTCCCCACCATTTCTGATTGGAAAGCATTTACAATTCATCTCTGTCATAAAATTATGACATACAGTCATTACCTGTAATAAGGACACCTAAATATGTTAATTGTAAAAATGTTACATTTGTATACATGTATTAATTTATCACAATATTTTCATTAAGTCCTCATGAAGATTACAGTCATCAACTGTAATTTGACTTTACATATAATATACAGCTCATTAGTTTTGTGTGAAGCATAACATATTGAAAAAACATTTTAGGATTTGACATTAGTTATCCACTTACAATTTGACATACATGAGATATAACTGATTCGAAAAGCATACAGCAAATCCATTCACATAGTAATTCCAATGTGTCTGGGATAAATGCTGTTTCAAGTCAGCCTAGATTTAACCTACAGTAAGGGTTTATCTTACCATTGTGGCAATTCCTTTGTATCTGTTTGGTTTTGAGTGATAACGATAGATCATAATTTATTACCATTACTTAATCCTCTTCTTATCTCCTAGTAGGAGACAGCTTAGTGAGGATACTTTGAAGGTCACTGTGAAATGTGTAGCATCATTAATAATAAAGTTGCATGAGACAGTCCCTAACAATATGTTAAAAATGTTCCAGTTTTATGGTTGTATTTTTCTATAAAATTAATATTTACCGACAAAGTTCATTCAAGGTGTCTTAGTTTACTTGTCTGAAACACTAGCATAAAATGTTGTAGAAAAATCTGACATTAAACATTTCAAGCTAGATTAAAATGCATTACATTTTGTTCAAGGCTTGTTTTGTAATCAAAGAAATGAAGCACTTTAACTGATTAACTCTCCAGAGGAGAACGAGAAAAAAATGTCATATATATATAATCAAGTTTAAATTATTGAGGCACATTGAGTGTTGATCAGATTTTGTATGATAAGATAGAGCACAGGCCCTTGGCAATAAGCTTGCAAAGCCCAAAGCAAATTTGATTGCTATCAAAGCTGTTTTCAATTCATGACTTATCAAAGCAGGATAAACAAACAGATTTATTTATCTCAGTGGCTGAGGAGAATTAAGTAGGCTTGATTCGTGTATTGAACTGAATACATTGACATATGCATTCTTGTCTGATATTGTGGCTTAGCTGGTGTCGACTCCAAGTCGGGAACTTGGTGTCTCATACATTGTTAACACATAGCAGCGCAGGTGCTTCATTGATTAATGTGATTTATTGGATCTTGCGGAATGTGCTTATTCTGGGAATGTGACGAGGCCATCTTTCTTTATATCGTCAATACAGTTTTTACATAGTGGGAACCATTAAAGATTTAGCTTTTCATTAGGAAGCTGGTAAGAATATTCTCTTGTGGCTGTTTTAATCTTGTTTGCAGATACGTGCATGACATAATGGTTAATTAACTGATATTATTTTGACATACCTTGGTTAAATTTGATTTATGAACTATTTCGTTAAGAAAGACGTTTTGGCGTGAGTCCAGATATTGTTTGGTGTTGGTATTGGAAGGTATGATCATTCACATGGTAATTAAGTCATGTTAAATTATCAGTCTTGGTGTTATTTTGTTTGGCTTGGTGTAATATATTTTAATAGCATATTTTGTGAAAGCTGGAGTTTAGGGCCATAAATGCTTGATACATGCTAATAATAGTTTATTAAAATGGAGAGAAGATTAATGATTAGCTTCAGGGGATAACTGAAGGGTTGTTAAATGTCAAAACAAAATACCGACTTAAAAAAGTTTGTAATTCTATAGAGTTTGCTTGATGAGTGCAGAGAGTTTCATGTGCCGACTAATTGAAAAAGGCTGCCATGCTTCAGTGTTAGAGATAAAAAGTGAACGGAATGGCCCCAAATGCCTCCTCCCGTTTATATGGTTCCTATGGAAACCAGTGCCATCACATCGTATCGTCAGAGCAAAGTTTATCCCTGTAACCAGGTAACAGCCATTATAAATCCAGCCTTTATTGGCGTGATAGGTGCACATCCCGGAGACTTGGGTAACCGTTCATATTGGAATGTGTAGTAGTTGTGTAAATTAGGTCTGCTGGCTTGATGGTGGGTTGACGTAGGGCTGATCTGACACAGCGTTTCTGTGCGGTGGAGGGCATGTGGTCGGGGGAAGGTAACACTAGTAGTCGGGACACTGGCTTTGCAGGCAGACGAGGCCAGATTAGATGGCTGGCAAATATTGACGAACAGAAAGGCATACACTGCTAGCTGGTTACTGAATCCTTGTGACCGCTATGCAATGTGACCTTTTACAACTTTTTTTACCTACGTGGCTAGTGATCTACTGAAGAGTAGCATTAAGGCATTCAGGCACGTCCCTGTGGAACAGGTTTTGGCTCATCAAGCAGGTTGAGCGACCCTTCAAGGGAACAAGGCTGTAAACTTTGTAAAGGCAGACTATAGAAAGGTCAGGCCACTCGCTGATTGAGTTGCTTGGCCAGGCTTTGTCAACAGTCAATGGATGAGCGAGCGAATAGCTCCCGGTTTTCCTTTTCATGTGAGAGAGTGTTGGTTTGACTACCCTCTAAAGGTGCGGTTCAGTAGGGATTGGCGAAAGAGGGCCGCTACGTTCCAGGATTTAAGCATCCACACAATGACTTGTGGTTATTCTGGTCGATGTGTCGCGAGTCGGAAGGTCGGGATAGGAGCCCAGTGGCCCGCGCAATGCACTGAGACATGGGAGAGTCGACTGCCCTCACAAACCAGTTTTTAGTCGTATGGAAGCTGTCATTAACGGCCTCTTGGGTATAAATTTAGAAAGCGGATCGGGATACGTCAGTTAGAACATGTTGGCTATGTTGGTCGTTCCCCTGTCGTTGGGTTAGATTGGTATTCAAGCGAGGATTTGCTTGGCTTGGGAGTTGTGTTGTTGCCAGTGACATTTTTCTAGGGAGTTACATTTGAATTTGAAGATTGATTTTTTCCCGAGGAAGTTGTGTTGGACTTCTCCTTTGTTCGGTCACACATGGATGACGGTGAGCGCTGTAGAGGAAAGCTACTCGACATGATTATCCCAGATCAACGTAGTTTGTGTCCTTTGTCTCGCAGTCTGTTCAGGGATCTCATACAGGGATACTGCCATTGAGAATTTAGTGTATACTACTTCGACCACTGCTTAAATATTTGTTGCTGGAGATAAACTCAAGCTTTGCACTCGTGGCCTTCCTCACGCCTAACAGAACAGCACATCAACTTTCGTACGTGTTCACTTTCGCCTGGCTACGTACGTATGTCACCGCTACGCATACGCACTCGGAGATGCCCGTCGCGGCAGGAATGGTGAGAACAGTCTAGGTTCTGGCGCCATCTTACCTAACAGCATTAGACTGGTTTCCACTACTCTAATACTGTCAGGTAAAGATGTCTACAGAGCTTATTAACCAACATTTATCGTCATTCAACAATCGTTCTCTGCAAAAACCTCGGGCTCCCCACAGCTCTCTTGTCTTGGCTACTAAGTCAAATATCTCAGCTATGCTGCTTGTCCTTGCTTTTCTGTTGTTTGCACTGCAGCTAATTCTTTTGTGCACCTTTATTGTCAGTACAATTGCATTGAGCAGTCTCTTAGACATTTATAAGTTCAAAGTTTGCTTCAGAATGACCATTTTGCTTAGAAAAAAGTATTTTCATGTTTTCAAAATTTACAATTTTAGCCCTAATACCATCCTTTATGTAAGTATGAACATTTTGTTTGTAATGATGTTTTTATTTTGTTTGTTTCATGTCAGATACAAAAACATTCTCTTTGTTATTGATGCTTTATAAGGTCATATCATGAGCATGGCTTTACTGACTGATGATGATGAATTTCCTTATGAAATAGACATAATTTATTTCATGTACATATCATTATACATTGTGACTCATGACATCCGTGACTAAAAGGGCTTGTCTTCCGAGCTATTTCAATCAATCACACGTTTGTCAAATAAGGACAGTTTCATATTTTTATTGTTAATGTTCTGTGTGAATATTTTTCTAAATTTTCCTAATTTGGAAGTGATACATTTTTGGTTTATATGTAAAGAGAATGTTTTACTTAACAAAGAGAATGCTTGGAAATTCCCCCAAAAGCCACAAAATTAGTTTTCAAAAGTTTAATAATTTAATGAATTGATAATTATTAACTGCTCACATTATCTGACAATAGAGTGCGTGCATTTTTAAATTATGTAGTAAGTAACATCTGATTCTTTAATGATAAAGTAGCAGTTGCTTCAGTGGGGAGCTGAGGAAGGATTCCGGAGAAATCAGAAATGGATTTGACGATGGCTTGAGGTGGACTGAGGCTAACGAAGGAGGCTAACGAGATGCTAATGAGGTGAGGTTCCCAGAACACAGGGGCTAGACAGGTGTAAATCACAATCTGTCTTCCTACAGTGCCTGGTGGGGCCCACCGATTACACCCCGCCCTCAGTCTTTGATTCCTGGAACATTGTGGATTGGAACCTAGCATTAGAAGCCCTGCTTAGTTAAGATTTATTGCACTTGCTAATTGTTCCGCTGTCGTCTTCTTGATTTGTAGGGGCCACATCTGTGGATTATTACAAGAACCAGAGGAATGGCATGTGTCTTATTCACATCTAACCATAGAAATATTTAATTTTCAACTTGGTTTTTGTGTAAGTTTACTCTTAATGAGGATAAAGAAGGTAGTTTACTTTTACGAAGTTTGCTGGATGAAATTAGCTAGCGTGTTTATAATACTGAAATGTTTGTTGAATATTCTCGTTAAACAGTGTTAATTAAGGTTGATATTTTACCTTAATTAAAATACAGTGCTAGGATTAGAAAGTAAATGTTTTGCAATAAGGAGTTTTTGTGGAAGGTTTAACTATCAAAACTGACAAAGGACCTGCCCTAGATCATGAACCTGTATTAGTAACTGAGAAGAAATGTATGACTAAGGGCCTGTCAAACTGAACTGATCACCACAGCGATGTAGACTACGTTCTGTAAGTGAGGTCTCGATGATTAGCAGTGTCTGAGAAACGGCCAAGTAGCTCCCCTGTTCAGCTAGATGGCCGGGGTGATAGTCACACCATTGTCTGACTGTCTTCAACACAACAACCCTCAAGGTTTGTAGCCCCTTACCCATTGTGATCATGACTTGGACATACCCCCTGGCTTGCCTTCAGGACTTGGCCTGGAGTTAATGTCCCAAACGGATGACGTATTACCTGTGTTACTACTTGTATCATGTCATTGTGTAAAGTTCTGTAAGGTAACTCCAAAACCTTCAGTTCTTTGTGTTGTGCACTCCATACTCTGTGACAACTGTAGTCAGGTCAACATCCAAGCTTTAGCCCTTGGCTAAATTCAAGGTGTCTGAATTTTCTTACTCAACCTGTATACAGTGTTTTGAAATTAAGGGGGTTCTCGTTATAGTGTGATATTTGGATCAAGGGACTATTAAATCTTGATTGCTTTACATATGGCCAGTGAAAAGGGCTTTATGACTTTCATGCTCACTTTTAACTACTGATATTTGTGTAGAATTTCTAAAAATCCTAATCCAGTGTCAAGGTCATATATATATTGAATTATTATTTGTTATTCTGTCATTCCTTGAACAGACTTGAATTCTGTCAGAAACACCCATCTGAAGAATCCCATTCTAGAATGCACCTCTGACTTTACTACTGAACACCTTTCCTCCATATTAAAGAATTAGCTCTCACAATCCACTTTGCCATATTAAATTGTAATCCCAGTTGTGGAAACCAGGGCTGTTATCTCCAATCCTTTGTCCCCAACCCTTGCATTGACCTGATGCCCTTTATCCCATTACCCTCTGTCCAGCCCATGCTAGTTAATCTTCAGTCTTTCCACCCTTTCAGCTTATGTCAAAACAACTGCATTATCTTTTCAAGATTTTACCAATTTTGGCTGTTTATCCTCAGATCACCAAACAATGCTGGTTTGTCCTCCCAACAGACCTTTGTTCTCAACCCTCTATTCTTCTTCCTTCACTCTGATCCACCCCGACCCACCCCTTCCCAGCTGGCCAAAGAAGGTATTCACTTGGAGTGACCCCCACCTGCTGACTGACCACTTTCCAAATGACTTCCAACATTGAGCAAGACAACAGAGTGATGTACCTTGATGCAGTTGACGCAAAACCCACAACTGACCACAAAGGCGATAGACCCTCGCTGTGTGATCACAATGGCCACCCCACCCACAACTGACCACAAAGGTGATATACTCTGACCATGGTGGACACAATGACCGATCTGAAATTATGACCCAAACAACCATTGAGTTCCCTGGCAATTAGGTACAGCACTAGGAAAGCAGCATGAAAGCCATCCATCTGAATCTTAATGACTCCCAAATAATTAGTCCTAGTTCGTCAGTCTTGATTCATATAGCCGAATACTCAGGAGATTGATTTTATGGTAATGATGATATGGACACTGATGAAGGCGTGCTTATTGGGCAGCCCTTGTATGACATGGGAGAAAGATTACACTGAAATAAGCCTCTTTTCGCCTTATCACAATGGCCAGTAATAATGGTATTTGTCATAGTATTCAAGGTTGAATATTTTGCCTATTATTTCAACTCGTATAACCACCTGGCGATCTTTGTGGAGGGCAGCCATTTTGAGCACAGATAAAGGCCTCCAGATATTGCTATTTCAAGGCTTTCTCAGCTGTATTGTATTGTCACCATCTGGGTTCAAATGTATGCCATAAATATTCCTAATCTTTACACAGAGGAATAATATTAGCATAAACTGGTATAAAGAAACTGGTTTTAATAGTATTGATCTTTCTGAGAAAACATTACTCTTCCTAAATTGGATGAATCGTAAACCCTCTGATGGAATTGTTTCTTGAAAATTTGAATGGTAAACATATTTGTTAAGTGAAATTGCGAAGAGATACTAATGTGAGTTGATACTACTAGATGGATGTATTCTTGTCAAAGACTTGACTCTTCATGAACACAGTGTTTGAATTCAACATAAATCTGCCTGAGGCTATTTTGTTTTAAATCAGCAAAATGTAACGGACGCAATCAAACTTCTTGTCTGTAATCATGAGTCAGGTAAATTTTGGACTGGCCCTACACAAGAAAGCATGCCTTCAGTTTGACCCCGTTAGGCAACCAGGCATCTGATCAGTGATGTATAAACTCCAGCATTCTTTGCCCAGCTCACTCTCGGCAAGCTCACTGGATCTTAGAAAACTGTTGTGAAATACCTTCTCGCGTGACTAGAGCTTATAACCTGGAACGAGGAATATCTGTGTCAGAGAGCTTTAGCCTGCTCTCAGGTAGTCAGTGTTTAGCCCTCAGAAGTAGCAATGTAAGGACCAGTGATAGATCGACAAAAAGGGTCTTTTGAAATGATTTTTAAAACATCCTATGATGTACCAGATCTTTTGGATTCTCATTTCAGCATAGTGGTGAAAAGAGATTACTGCTGATTTTTTGGACTTTGTGTGAATTATATCTGATGGATTGAATTGAAACATTGTTGCACATCAATTGGGTCATAGGTTTAGGGTTTCTATCTAACTCCAGGGCCCCTTACAGTCATTAATTTTTAATGTTATATGGCTCAGACCCATTGAGGTTTCATTCTGAATTTCAAAGGTATTGATCAGTGTTAAGCTGATAATGTTGAGGATTATTACTAATTGGATCTTGGGGGATGTAATTAAAAGTAACTTATAAATAGAATCTCTATTGTGTCTTCATGTTAAAAGTTCTGAAAATGTTTTATTGGAATTACACAGAAAATTCAAAATACATTAATGCTCAGAACAAGCCTGTTTATAATTAGATAAGTTGAGTATAATACTAGAGTGGAAAATCTTAGGATAATGCTTTATTTGTAATGTTGGTAATATAAGCAAGTCATGGTATCCTTGTCGTAACCCTTATGTCAGAACCTGATGATTCAGATGTCCCATACATGCAAAGCAGAACGCCTCAAGGACTCCCAAGCCCTATTAAATTTCTGATTCTGCTGCGTAAGCTGTTTCTGTCCAAATTCATTTTTATATACCAGTAGGTGCATCAGAGATCTAACACTGGTGAGTGAACGTGAGGCTTAGACTTTCATTGGATGACCTCCTCAAACAACTTGATGTTGAGATAGTGCACTTAAAAACTGGTATTTTGTAAGACGTGGGAGTTCAGGTCATGTACTGTTTTTTAACAATGTGGATTCAGATATTGTTTGTTGTATACGGTATTCAAGTAGATTGTCAGTTTCACTCGTCCTGTTTGACTGTGTGTGAATCTGTGTTTTGGTGAACATTGTTGTATTGGCTGGAAACATGGATTAGATTGGAATGTAAAGAATGTCAATAGTGAAAAAGGTTTGCAGTTTCAAGAAAAAGGTTTGTTCAAGTAGTAAAGGTATTCAAAATAAGTACTTTCCAATTGAAAATTTGAAAAGATCATTAATGCTTGATTTTGAAGGCTTACTGATTTCAGTGTTAACTGATGGATTTGAAATTAATTTATCCATTTTCAGTATACATGTATAATCTACAGGTATGTTGCAATAGAATTGTCAGTTTGATTGCCTATTTCTCAAGATTTTAGTTGAGGTTAAGAGTTAACAGTTTTGCAAGTGTGAGCAGTCGATTAAGATAGAAAGGCGACTATTTAAATTTCCCAAGGATTTTTTAACTCAACCCTCAAGTTATGGTGACACTTTGAAAGATTGGTGTGTTAACAAATCAAGGGGTATGTCCTGGGGTTATGAGTAGGATACATGTTAAATCTGTTATAACAGGGCTTCAGTAAGACAATCTTGCTATTGTGCAGATATTTGGAGAACATATAAAACAAGTGACTGCTTGATTTGCATTTGATAGATACAAAAATGGAAATGAATTCATGTATAGATGTTTAGGGTTTAATCATATTTAATACTGCATAATTTTCAATATTTCTATTAGTGAATATATTGTAGCTTTGATGATTACTAGATTTAGATGAAAAAGGTTTTCTATGGCTAAAAGATGCATGTGTTCAGAATATATTTACATAATACGAAGTTAATCTGATTTTGAAATGACAGCATCAAGTTTAATATGATGGCTTGTGAAACAAAATTCATGAGTTGAATGAGTTGTTAAGAATTAAATTTCGTTCACTTTATTTCACCTTATTTTTGTATTTTTAGTGAATATGAATATTTGTTGTGAGAAGCCAGTAGTTTGTGTATTTATGAGACAGGTTGGATCAAACACATGTATGGAGCTTCTGCCCATGTTTGTTTCAACGTAGAGTGATCTCACATTGTTGGTTATGCCCTGTGGAAATACTTAATAGGTGTTCAGCTTGGAAGCCCATGTATAAAGAACCAGGTCAGGATGAATTTGGAGATTGTCGTATCTAATGGATAAAAAATGAGAGTTGGGAGACAGGCAGGTGATGACTACATCAAGTATAGGATGGGGGCGTTTGGGCGTGGTCCAGGGTAGCAGCTGTCACTGAGTCAGTCTGTATTATGCATCAAACACCATCCAAACCTCTAAATAATTAAAATGTGTAACCTATCCACTTTAAATGTTTAAATTCATTTTAATTTCTACAGTCCCGGGTTATTCAATTAATCCATTTGCTCAATACATTTCAGTATAATGGAGATTGTGGCAATGGGTTCAAAAAGGAAAAAAATAAAATCCATCCTTTGATGTCGTGGAATGATACAGTTTAATTAAAGCAAGACAGGTTTCAGCCGATGATCTTATCAGAGTTGACGATGATGTTTGTGATACTTAAAAGGAGGTATTACGTTCAAAGGAGAGGTTGAATAGTGAACATTCCTGGATATAGTTCGAGGGGATGTATAAAATAATGGCTTGGTGGCACACAATAGAGAGCTCTCCCAGCTGCTGTGTGTTCAATGTGACATGATGTTATGGAATTATATGATGTTGAGAGTGTAATCACTGGAGCGAAGACAAACATGTGATCACTGTCTTCACTTGAGAACGTGGGTGACAACAGTTGTACTGCAGTGTGTCAAGGCTCTGAAAGGGATACATATTTGGTAAATAAAGGATTTAGGAAACTGTAAAATTCCTTTGAACATGTAGGCTGTCTTTTGGCAAGGATTCCTGTTAGCACATGTTAAGCAGTGTTGCATTGGCTGGTACAATTTCAATGAAAAAAGAAGGATTTTTAAATATATTTGAAAGTGTTGAATAAATAATATAAATTAACAAAATTTCTGGATGGACTAATGACGTTTCCTTGTGAATAACAACTTTTAACATAAGGTAGATATCAACTCTTCCATATTGTTATAGTTTACTCTGAGGCGGATACAGCTTTTTGTGAAAGGCGCGAAGCACAGTTCATTTTCACCTGTTTTCACAAGAGTTTCAATGGTCATTGTATAAACTTTCAGGCCCCCCTCTGGATCCGCCTATGCATACTGGTGAAAGTATTTCTCACTTTTTATTTCTCACTTCTCTGTTAAGTTTAATATCCAGAAGATTTATTTCAATACAATAATCTTTCAATCAGTATTTTTTTTTCATTTGTCCTTGTTTCATTTCAATCCATTTTATTGATTAGGTTTGGAAACTATAAGGAAATAATAATTGGTATTTTTCCAGTAAATATTGGTGTTCCCTCTGCTAGAAATGTAAATAGGATATCATCTGGGTATGAACAGGGTTTGTGATGTGCTTTAGTGTGCTGCTTGTGACGCACATAGAAAGGAGTTGACGGAATCTCGGTTATTGCGGAGGTGAAGCTCTGTGTTGACTCTACACCTAGTGGCGACATCGTCGCTGTTCTGCTGATTTAATGACTCTCAACAGGGCCTGGGTTGTGGATAGCCGATCGCGGATCTACAAACACGCCACGTAGGTTTGACAAGTTTTCGCTGGATTTTCTGTCATTTGTCGGTTTAATTGGTTTTCGTTTGTCCATGTGATAAGCTTTGACAGCTACTCTTTCTGAATAGACAAAACTTTCCCTAACAAGCCAAATGTACTCATTGGTTGCTACTGAGGAATATTTGTTTCTTTATAAACATTTACTCATTCTGTGGCCTTAGAAGAGTGTTGTATGAAGCAAAGGTCAGGTTAGAGGCGTGGCTGGCTGGTCATAACTTGACTGTTTTATGTTTCATGCTGTGAATGTGGTTTTAGATTTATCAACAGTATGCTCATAAAGAGTTGTCATGTGCTCAACATGAATGAACAGGTTATTTTGAATGAAAGGAAATTTTGTGTGGGTCAAACAGTTTCTGTTTGAAATGTTACGATAAAGAAATGAATGTGTTTCCATGGAAACGGGACAGTTGTATTCACTAACACAACAATCTGTTACATGTTATATTTCAGTTTGGTTTTCAGTTGTTGTTTTTTAACTTGATAAAGACGGTCAACATTCCTTTTTCAAGATCTGCATACTTATATGCTCTTTAGATTATCATGGCCTCAAACAAAATGTGTGTGTGTGTGTGTGTGTGTGTGTGTGTGTGTGTGTGTGTGTGTGTGTGTGTTTGAAATGAATATTCATTGTGCGATATTAATATATATATATATATATGTTATGATGTTTAATAATGTTTAATGTTGTTATCAAATTTGTCATTTTTATGTTTCATGTACTAATAACTGTTTTTGCACAATGTATTTGTCATGTTGAATTGTTTCAAATAAAGTTTTCGAGTTTGAATTTATTGTGCTTTGTGTTCCTTCATCCAATGAGAAACACCAGTCGACTCTGTTCAATATTGCCAGTCATTTTTATGGAGAGCTAGCTGTCACAATATTGAATTATTGATTTGTTTTTGTGTCACACTGACCCTTAAATACAAGCTTCAACTGCGTTTCTATCTTAAGGATCTGTAGATTATATGATAAAGCTTTGTAATAACAGTTCTGGAATGTTGCCCAATTAAGTAAAGAATGAAAATTGTTTCCCTAGCCTAGCTCACATTTGACTGGCAATATTGAACCACAGTCACTTCTACATGATGAATACAACAAGAGAGGACAGACTCATTGTCACAAGAAGTAGGTATATTTCTATCATTGAAGCCCCCATATAGCTGGAAATTGCTGAGTGCGGCGTAAAACTAAACTCACTCTATCATGACTCACTCTATGACTTCCTGTCAATGTGATAAAGAATTATATGTTCAGGAAATACAGTGAAATTTCTAAACATGCCAATGTTAAAGGTAACTGGCACTATTTGGCGAGCGGATGAATTGTTCAGAATATTAGCACCTTGGTTTCACCAAAGTTTGCCTTCAGAATATTCTGAATTGGAATTGGCAGAGTTTTTTAAAGCAATGACAAATATTGCTGATATGGCCTGCAGGAAAAGATGCTGTTTGTCATGTCCAATTATTTCACAGTTCATTTGGGCTCAAGTGGTGAATGTAAATTTCAGGAAACATTTTAAAGTCCTTCCAGATTTCCACTTATCATGGATAAAACAGACCAGTGGCCTTGTCTGACCTTAGGCTGAATGAGGAATATTACCATGGTACTGTAAAAGTGTAACTTGAACATATCTTGATTGGCAAAATGTTAATGCTTCTTCATGAGGCAAAAATAGCAACAAGATATCACTGGATTTTTATTGGAAAACAATCCTGTGTAAGACGGCAATAATATGAGAAGTGAACATGCAATGCGATTGTAAATCTACAGTTATTACCCAGTGAAACACAAGATTGTACCCCAAAGGCTGCTTATCAAATAATGATTCAGGTAATTTCATGTTTCTCTCCTGTGCTATCCAGTATTCTGAAGCCCATGTCTAGTTCAACAGCCTGTTGGACATTTAGAACATCTCTTGTGCCAGTCTGATCTGATTTTATGTTCTTGGCCTTGGTCCTTCACTGTGTCATGCACACGTGGCCCAGTAGACCTGAAGTTATGTGTGTGTGTGGAAACTCTGTGGTCTTGGGGTCGAATCCTAGTTCCTAAGTATAGTTTTTGGTTTATTTGCAACATTCTACATCAGCAAGTAGGTTAACACCCAGGAACTACATCGGTTTTCCTTCTTCATCTAGTCACATGATGGAACTGAAATACTGTTCAAAGTGGTGCTAAACCCAACTCACTCATTCACTCACTCACTGCTGTCATATAGCTGGAATAGTGCAGAGTATGGTGTTAAAAACCTCACTCACTCACTCACTCACTCACTCACTCACTCATATATTCCTTTTTGAAACCCAGCAACCTGTTCAGATCGTAATGTTCAATGAAATGGGTGACTTGGTTCACAACATCAACCACTGGTTCAGACTCGATTACTTGTCATGCACACTCACATATATGAACTATTTCTCAGTGTGACAAGTAAATTTGAAACTCATAAAGATACATTCACTCCCATGGAGAACTAAATGACATTAGGTGTGGCTGGATTGAAACAACAATGCGTAACGTTTAAACTTTGTATGAATGATCCCAACATAATTGGCTTATAAAGTAGGCTTGGATATAGATTGGACTGTAGATATGTCTGCTATGTACATCCATCGCTTCAGGAATCATACTTCAATTCTTAAATATTAAAGAATGTGAATACAGTACAAAATGTAACAGTTATTGTTGTTTTAGATTTTCCCTTGTGATGACTTTTTACCTCCACATTCCCTAGTGAAACGAACTGATTTTTCAAAATTTCCTTCAAATGCAATTTTCATCAGTTGCATGTTAAGTTTATTTATAGAACTTTGACACATTTGAAACTAGCTCAGGTGAGCTACAGAGCCACAAGGGGTGATAGTGGGGTGACCTTGTAGTGAAAGCCCTCAATGTCATGCCCAGTCCTGGGTTCAGTTCTCCAAATGTGTACAGTGGGTGAATCCCATTTGTGTGGGAGTATT